TGGACAAACGAAGACCATACTACCGTTGCTATGGCTTTACTAACGTCAGTGGCATTTTCTATGTGAGTCTTACCTGACGTGTTCAGTAGACCGAGGCGCACCAAGGTTGGTGGCGCTTGATCAAATCGGCGGCATGTGGTGCTCGACGCGTGTGGAAGCGTGAGAACTCCTTCTGGGATAGTATCTTTAGGCAGTTTTCTCCGGACGACGAGATGGACCTTGCGGTGGTGTTTGTTTCCAGTTTTGGGTGCTGCTGTAAAATTTTGACAATTTTACCCCAGCGTGTTTGGGATTCAATTTTACTCAATTGGTTGTTAGTGACTTTAGGGCGAATAGTGAAGGTCCAAAAGTAACAAATTTGCATTTCTCGTAATTTACGGACACAGATAGGTCCGCTCTGGTAAATTGGCTGAAACCTTTACATTATCGCACTATCATATTATCGTATGGGGTGATCATTATGATTGAGGGTTGTCATTGTTTGTGCTAGAAAATTTAGGAATTATCTGCCTTATTTGAAGTGTTGAAGTTGACTGCAAGCTGGTAATTGATTTTGTGCTGTAATTGTCATATAGTCACTCATGAGACTGCAATTGCATGAGAATTTAAATTTCTGTTAACATATGTGCTGCTTGATTATCCTGTTAGAACACTCAGACTTGACCCATTCGAAAACTTCGTTGATCTAAGATCGCGAATCTTACGAAATCCTGGGAATCTAGAACAATGTATATTGCGATTGTAGGATTACTTTGTATGACCTATTTGTGCATTTGGTTGTTCTGTTTTTCAAAAAATGTCTTCACATTTCGAAGTTGATATTTTCAATGGGAAAGGGGATTTTTCAATTTGGCAACGAAAGATGAAGGAGATTTTAGGTCAAAAAAAGTTTCAAAGGCCATAGATGGCAAATTTCCTCTCAAATTTGACAAAAACACAAAAAGAGGAATATGATGAACTTGCTTACATTTCAATTATCTTACATTTATCTTACATTGTTTTGAGAAAAGTTGAGAAATTGGATTTTACAAAAAATTTGTACTTGCTTGAAAGATTTTTCAGTTTTAAAATGAATCCGTCAAAGGATCTTGACGACAATCTGGATACTTTTAACAAACTTGTTCAAGACATTGTTAACTATGATGAAAAAGTGTTTGAAACATATAAAGTCATTATCTTATTTAATTCCATGCCTGATTAATATAAAAAGGTTAAGAATGCAATTAAGTATGGTATGTACACCCTAACACCCAAGATTGTCATAGACTTACTTAGAAGTAAGGAAATGGAAATTAAGGCTGAAAATGAAAATAAGAGGAATTGTGAATTACACATGATAAGGAGAAGGATGAAGTTTAAGCAAATAAATTTGGGTAGAACTCAAAATAGTGGTGATTTGAATAGTGACTCAAATGATAAAAGTAGTAAGAAGAAGGGCAAGGGACGAGACAAGTCTAGTGGTAAATGGTGTTATAGATAGCTGTGGTAAGCCTGAACACTTTATTAGGGACTATCCCAAGAAGAAGGATAAGTAGAAGGGTAATGTGAGAGGTGAGACGAATGTGGTTGAGGGGTCGAGTTATGACCTCAGTGAAGTTTATTGAGAGTAAACCTAGTTATTGCATATACATCTGTGTGTGATCCTTTCTACATGTATGTGGCTACCTAATTCTGTTGCATGATTATATGTTGCATTTCAATTTGTTTGATATGTGTGTTTACATGAATTTGAGGTAAATGTGATTAATTGATGTGACTGTTTTCATGCATAGTGGGTTATGATGAATTAGCAGTGTGTTAGATGTCTTTTGGTAAGGTGGAGTATAGATGCTTTGGGGTACATTGTGGTTTGTACTGGAGATGTAGAGCGTGACATTTGGATCATGAGTGGAGATGTGATTAAATGTCTAGAATCCTTTATCTATAAAAGAGACCCTGTAAAGGTGAAGTGTGAGAGAGACACTTCTATCACTTCTATAAGGTGGAGACCTATTATCCATGTAGGTTGGGGGAAGTGATGTGGTGATAGAGAATTATCTCGAGAGTTTAGGATCTATTGTGACTTACCAGTTAGACATGAGTTGAGTGATCATTTAGCGAGCATGGTGAGCGATAAGAGGAGATATGCGTTCTCGATGTGGAAGTTACACGGAATGGGATAGGATATGTGTGGTGAGATCTTTTCGGGGGTCATTTATGTATTTGTTACATATGTGTTTGACCGTGTGCTAATTAATTTGGTGTTAATCTTTAGCTCTATGGGAACGAGATTTATCCAAGATCTATGCATTATCCTATATTACTTTCATCGTATGATTATTTGTTCACTGTGAATACTTGTTCTTACTTGAGTGTTTTTTGGATTTTAGCCCTGGTGAGTACATGGAGTAGATATGGTATGTGTTTCAGGTTTAAAACACGAGGTAAGGTCTGTGATACCAATTTTATTGGAATACCTTGATTGTGCAAGTATAAACTTTGTGTTTTGTTTGCTTGTAAATTATTGGACATCAAGGTGGAGATTGTTGGATTTTGATACCCAATAATCCGGGCAATGATTTTAAACTGCTGTTGGATAAAAATAAGTATTGACACCCAAGATTGATGACCCAACCCTAAAACTATTTGGTCAATTGGAAGTAACCTAATTAATTAGTGTTGCTAATTGCTCGATTTCTATACTCATTGGATGACTTTTGTATGTTGGCCCGTTTATCGTATTTGTATTGGGCTTGGCCCATCTCTATGCCCTAACATATCCTGTATAAGTTGTCCCTCTTTTGTCATTAACGTGTTTGACTTTGTCTTGTTTGAGAGAAAAATGTCCCTACCTCTTTGCTTTGTGCTCCGCTTAGCCTTTTTCTTCTTGTTTTTCTCTAGCCTTTGTGGGTACAAACACCTTCTCTCTGTGTTCTAAGTGGGTACAAATCTTGAGCAACTGGAGTGTGGAAGAAGTTTAAGGTTTTGGGTCATGATTGCTTGGATGTATTGATAAGGTTGAGATTGGTATCCCGAGTTTGAAATTCCACCAATTGGAGGTCGATTATTCAACACATTATTTAAAGATTTAATACAAAATTAGAAAACTTGAATATAAGATGTAGGTTATGTTTGGATCAAATTTTCATTATCACGGGGATTGATTTTCATATCTTGAAAAAGACAATTTAGAAAAACACTCCCAATACATTTTCATATTATTATATTTCTAAATTTTGGCAACTCGATAAAAGTTCTTTCTTTATTTCCCTATAGAAGAAAAACTAGCTGTGATCTAGAGGAATTTTATCTTGGAGTAGTGTAGCGTTGAAATTACTTGCACGGAAGGGAGCTCACACAACTTTAAGACAATGTTCTTGATGTGGCTTCATAAAACTTTCTAAATCTTTTCTTATGTTTACGTTATTTTAAAGTTGTTATGTTAGTTAATAATCTACACTTTAGATAACTCGTTTTTCCTCAACAATCTAAAACCGTTGAAGAAAAATGAGTGATTTGTGTGTAGATTATCAATTAACACACCAAATTGAATTAACATAAACATAAGAAGAGAATTATAAAGCAATTATTAGGAATCATGTCAAAGAGACTGTCCTAAAGTCGGGTAGTTTTCCCTAAGTGCTGGTACTTTTGACACTTCATGACTCTAAGACAAAACTCTTATAGCTCATAGTCGGTTATATTTCTATAGATAGAATCACAAAAAAATACAGAACGAGTCTTTGTCGAATTTTAAAAACTATAGAATTATTATAGTATAAAAATTAGAGATAATATTCTATCAAGTTACGTATTCAAATTGTATATATCTCAAAACATAAAATGCATATCTTTATATGGTAAAAAATTTAACCCCCTGCATTTATGAAAATTTCTCTAAAATTAAAAATGTTGAATGTGCTTTAGTTTTGAAATTGAATTATATGATCAAAACTAAAAAAGAATAAAATTTATTTTGTTTGGAAGTTTAAATCTTTCAAAAATGTTGTGGATTATCAATGGACATAACAAATTAAAAAACACAAACCCAAAAATAGAGTTAAAAACCAAGTTTTAGGGAATTATGTCAACAAGGTTATCTTAAAGTCATGTGATCTTTTCTTCATACTGTTACTTTCAACATTACACGACTATAAGATAAAACCCTTATAGTTAAAGTCGGTTCTCCTTTCATGGGTATGATCACAAGAAAATAAAGAACAAATTTTTATCGAGTAGTCAAAATTATAGAAACATAGTATCAAAATTAGAGATAGTACCCTATCAAGACAATTTTTTCAAGTTGTATATATCTCCAACATAAAATGCATATCCTTTGTATGGTAAAAAATTTAACCCCTGCATTTATGAACATTTCTATGTTTTCAAGTTGTTTATAACTCCAACATAAAATGCATATCTTTATGTAGTAAGAAATTTAACCTCCGCATTAATGAACAATTCTCTGAATTTAAAAATGTTGAATGTGCATTAATTTGAAATTGAATTATATGATCAAAATTGAACATGAAATAAATCAAATTAATTTGAAAGCAAATCTTTCCAAACTGTTACAACATACCATATGTCCCACATAATTTCCTTGGTTTTGAAGGAGGTTTTGCAGAAGGCAAAATGTAATGCTCAGCCTAAAAAGGCTACATATTTATTTTCCTACTTTCTTTGTGTTTTTTTTTTTTTCCCTTAGGGTACCAGTGAATGCATTTAATGTATACGGAATCAGTCACTTCTTGGTAGCCAAAAATATCTAACTTTGATAGGTCAACATGCACAGTTCAATATTTTCATTTCATGTTGTTGGTTTAGAACCCGTTTGCTTAGCTTAAACCACAAAAAAGAAAAAAGGACATTTTCAGTAGTATATCACAGTCTGAAAAATTGTTTTCTTCTAAGAACAAATAGCAGACATGCACGTCCACATCGTTAGCCTTGGATCGACAAATAAGAAAAATAACATTAATCCGATGGAACTGAAGATTCAAGCATGGCATGGCAAAACATTGATAAAAAGGAGAATTACATACATATTTATTCATTTATTATCGATATTTACTCATCTACATACCAAGAACATATTTTAGTACAATACACGACGAACACAGAACATCATAGAAAAAGTAGTTAAATAATGAGACAATAAGACAAATCTCTCTACTCGTTGAATGCAGATCTCACCACACAATTTTCTCAAGCTGTTGATCAATAATTAAATGCACCAGGAGATGATGCCACGATGGGCTGTTGGCTAAAGTACATTAAGTTCCATGGATTCATGAAAGATTCCTCCGCCCAGTTGTTGGTGGTGGCGCCTCCTCCTCCCGCGGCGGTGGCGATGATTTCATTCAGGGACTGTAATCTTTGGCTAAGTTCCGTAATCCGAGCCCTTATGACAGAATTTTCAGCCTCAATATTCATGTAATTCTGTGTGGTGATGTTAATGCTTGTGAGAAGTTGGCTGTTTTCCTTCTGAATTTGAGCCGATTGGGCTGTTAATTCGTCCAAATGCTTCTGTTTTCTCATTCGGGATCGTTTTGCCGATTCGCGATTTGATTGCATTCTTTTCCTTTTTCTTTGATCCATCAGATCTTCTTCAGAACCTGAGTTCAGAATCTGTGAAGACCCTGAAGAGTTGCCACTAGAAGAACCCATTTGAATATAATCCTGAAAACAAAGGAAAAAAAGAAAAAAAGGAAAAACAAAAGACTTGAGACAGCGACAATAAAAATGAGATAAAATCAAAAGAAGAGCCGATGATCCGTTGCTTTATTTGTGAATCACGTTTAATGGGAGAGATTTGGTTACTTTACGGCTCTGACGTGCACCAAAATCGCCCTGAAAATCCTTTATGGAAATCTGGTAACTCTCGATGCCAAACTTTGACGAATTCACTTCTGCAGAATTTCAGAGAAATGCCTCCCAAGCACGCCCAAACTGGCAGCAGAAAATTCGTGGCATTCGTGCAAATGACCCACAAATCAATCTTGTTATATACAAGAATATTCAAGATTTGCTGAAAAATGATAGATCAAAAACATAAAACCAGTAGAGAAATGTAACGGAGAAAGATTGAACAAGATGGGTTCTGCTTCTGATCGAGGATGTGATCATAAAACCTGAAAGGAGGATTTCACTGAGTACAGGACTAGACATGGATTTGAAACATCAAGAAAAAAATACGCAGCATCAAGATTTTTTATGAAGAAACTTTTAACCAGAGCCTAAAAAAAAACAGAAATGAGAAATTTCAAGAGGAAAAAAGCAATGGAAGTAGGGATCTAAATTAAACTATTAAAGAAAGAAAGAAAGAAAGAAAGAAAGAAGCGGAATAATATAAGCTTAATTATGAACAAAAAATCTTAAGGGGTAACGGAGAAGAGAAAAGGAAGAGAATTCTGAGGTTGTGGGAAGGCTGATTGATTTATAGAAGGAAAAGGTGGAAAAAAAAAATGTTAATTTAAGATTATGTTTGGCTAAGCTTAAAAATGTAAACACTTTTAATTGACTTTTTATTTTCAGATAAGTTATCTTTTTATTTTTAATTAAAAAAGATACTTATTTTGTTACCAATTTTGACCGTTAATAAAATTATTTATGTTAGAATTGTACTAAATAAAAGTGTATTAAACATACTTTAAGCCCTGTTCATATAATATTGAAGATGAAGATATTCTAATCAGCACGTTTGTTATGGCCGCACTATCTTTTCTCTAGATTTTCTAGTTTCTATGGATCAAGAGGAACAATGCAAAATACAGGGGTATTCGCATTGTGTTTAGACGGATTATTTAGAGGGTCTACCGCGTGATTTTATTTCTTCATACTAATCGGTTGTTTCGACCTATACACTGATGAGGGGATTTGGCTCTTACTCTCCTATTTTGGAATCTCTATGCCCCTACTTCTTCCATTTCCCCCATATTGGTTCTTCGACGCACTCCATCGGTGGGATTTTACAAGAGTAACACTGATGGATGCATCAAGTATGAATTTGCCAGGTGTGGTGATATTATACGGGATTAAGCTGGACAGTGTATCATGACATTCTCTTCTTCTTACGGTGCTTGCCTTATTCTGAAGGTTGAGCTTCGAGGCATATTGGATGAAATTTTTCTTGCTAGACGACTTGGAATTTCAAACATTTGGGTTGAGGTTGACCCGACTCTGGTTGCTCACTATATCACCAAGGGTGGAAGACAATGGGTAATTCATGGTACTCTTAGACATATTAGACATCTTCTCTATTTTGATCGTGATGTTGTTTCCCATATCTACTGTGAGGGGAACTAGGTTGTAGAGTCACTGACCTCAAAGGGTTGGAACAACTGTCATTGCTAGGAGTATGGATCACGTGACCTTTCTCGATGACTCAGGGCACTTGTGCAGATTGATAAATATGAATTGCTTAGTTTTAGAGGTTTGTAGTTTAGGACTCATTTACTTTCGTTGTTGTGGGAGTAGCACTCTCTGCTTATAGCTTTCCTATTGCTTTTATTACATTTGTTGCTTCTGAAGTTCAGTTTAGATACCCCTTTTTCCATGTACTCTCGTTGTTTTAATGATATATGTATGATTTGAGAATCCTAAACCCATCGACCTTTTTGGGTGAAGCCTAAAAACTTACCAAACATGTATAGATATCTTTGCTAAAAATGAAAAAGAGCATTGTTCGCATAAAATTTGGAGTCGAGTGGATTATGTTTATTATTATGAAGAATTGATTGTATATCTAATATAGTTTTTAAAAACAATAAAATTTTTAACCACATCACATCATATTAATTTTTAGTCTACTTCCAATTCTAACATGATCTCTAGAGATCGCATGGCACTTTAGATCAACATATGACACATGTCAAACTTTAACGTCGCTCTTTAAATTTATCTCCGATATTTCATTTTTTTCTTAATGCATATTCTTATTTCTTATATTATTTTATAGATGGTTCCAAACAGGTTAATCACGAGAACTATGATAAGTTTACATCGTAAAATTTTATAAAATCTCTCCGAGATAGGGACATATTTGGGAGTGTTTTTAAAACTTATAAGTTGAAAAAATATTATTTTCATTAACGTTATATAGGACGTACAATTTCTACCTACTTTATCTAGATATTTTATAAGACTCACTTTATAAACACTCAAAAGCCACCAAACAGGCACTAATCTTAATACTGAAAATTCAAGAATATGAACAAGAATAAGTTTCAATGATTAAAAGAAGAAAAGTAAATGGGAAAAAAGGTAAAGGGCTTTGGAATATGTGACGGACTTGATTAGGCGTGTGGGGTTGAGAAAAAACTTCCACAAACATCCAAATTCTAGGTGCAAATTGTACGGTATCGAATTAAGAATTCTGACAAAATTTAGTACCTTGTTTTCCCCAATTTCTTGCAGTAATTATTTTTTTTACTGTTTGTGTGATACCAGGTTTCTGGATTCTGCTGTAGAAATATCAAGGATGGATGCCAATATTCTTGTGTTGTTTAACTTGAAAAGATGAACAAAAATGTGTAAACTCTGAATATTCTTTAATGCCACAATTTGTGTTTTAATTTCATACGGTTTCATAATATTCATATAGTTTGAATATTTATGTAATAATAATTGACATGTAAGCTTTAGATTTAGGTCGAATGAAAATAGAAAATGAACACATCACAAACAATGAAATAACTTAATTTAAGTTAATGCTAGAGCCTGTCGATTAATATTTTTTTTTTTTTGGGGTAAAATTTTGAAACTTTTGCAAAGTTTCGATAACGTTTTCATAGTCTCCGAATTTTATTAATAAATGAGATTTTTTTTTAGATTTGGAAACTTTTTTCAAGAGTTTCGGTTTCCAAAACGTTTCTGAAATGAAACGTTTGTATTTTAAAAGTGTTTTTTTATTATATATCATAACTTTAGATTCTTAGAACTTGAAGCAATCACTATACAATCTTCTCTAACGCCCGTGTGTTTTATCCCAAGCAAAGCATCTTCTTACAACGTTTGGTCTCAATCTAGACGGTAAGTTGTAGTGGCATCTACATCTAATTTGGTCGACCTCTTCAGTTTAACTTTAAGTTTGCCCTACTCCCTTGACATTTGACATAAACATTCACTCTTTAATACGACAATTATAACTTACAACATTCAGAACATAAAATAATTTTCTTTCGACAAGAAACATTAAATAATTGATTTTTTCTTTTGAAAAAAAAAATAAATTCTTTTGCCCATAAAATCATATACAACAGCACATGGTTTTCAGCGATGGAGTGAAGTGCTTTCGCCCACATTATTTTAATTTCTTTCTGTATTTAACTATTTGTCCAAACTTGATCTTCAACCGTCCAGTACAAATAAATAATGATAATATCTTCCCTCCCACTTGTCCAATTAATTATTCTGGATATTTGAAGTTTAATCAACGGCTGTCAGTAAATTTATTTTTCCAAAATATCATACGGTTGTGTTGAATGACTGTCTCATATAAAATTAATTACTAGGGAGCAAAGAAATTCATTAAAGTTTATCTTAAAAATTTTGTCCATTTCAAATCCTCTGGAGCCAGCATCCTGTCATGGAGCACCTTTTTAGAGTCCACCACCAAGTTGTACAAGGTGATTAATAAAAATTAAAGATTTAATGCTTGTTTGGTAGGAATTTTGATAATTAATTTTTTGATTATTACAGATAAAGTAGATCCTATTGTAAGAGAATAATTAAAAAATGACGATAATAATAATAAAATAACGGTAAAAAAAATTGATTTTACTTGACTTTTTAATTGTACCGAACAAGCTCTAATATTTAAAAATAAACTACAAAAGGCTTTTTATTTTAATTTTATATGTATAAAATAAGTTAGATATTTCAATTTTCAACTTCTTAAATGATTCAAATCATATATTGAAATTGATTGTCATTAACATATAAAAATATGTTAAATAAAAGATAGTGGGATGTTTCTTGGAAATAAGCAAAATGAAAAGTTAAGATAGAGAGATAATCTCAATTATACATAAAGAGACTCTATATTAATGAAGAGTATGTTAAAGACGGCTTCATTATGATAATTTTAAAAAGCTGTGATAGGAACTAGGATGTCCTCTTGGTATAATTGGGTAACATTATGTGTTGAATTATACTAAATGATGTTGATATTAAACTTGTTTGGTAAGAGATTATAATTATGTTTTTATAAAAGTTGATAAAATGTATAATTAAAAGTTGCGGGTTCTATTAAATATGTGAAAATTAATTGTTGATTTTAACTTAAATTAGAATTTAGATTTTTATCTCTACTAAACATGGCTAAATAAGACAATAAATATTCTTGTTTTATATATTATATTTTTTACACCTGTATGGTGGGGAGTAAAATCATTTTTTTTCTTTTTTTAAAGTTGATGAAATGAGTGATTGAAAAGTTGTTGGTCCCTTAAAATTTGATTAAAATTAATTGTTGACTTGACTTATATTAAAATTTGAAATTTAATTTCTACCAAACAGGAGGGATTTTACATGGCATAAATGTACTTCAAATTCTTGTAAATGAGATGTTATGTATGTTTACAAATTTGACCAAGCCCAATTTGGTAGATATTTTTAATATATCTCGATAAAAGATAATAAATTGTGTACTTGAAAAATTGTGGCTCTATAAAATGTGTGATAAAAATTAATTATTAATTTTAACTTAAAATTTTAATCAACCTTTCTAGCTCAACCCAAAAAATGAGCTAAATATGAAACAAACACTGAACAAGATTTTTTTTTTTACTTTAATCATATAGGTCGCAAAAGTCTTCTTGTTCTTTACCAGATTTACTCGCAGTGTTTCTGAGTGTAGTCATTTCAAATCAAAAACAACACAAATAATGAGTATGGCCAAATCTTTAAAGATATTGAGTCCCACCATTTTGCAGTTTGGTGAAAAGTTGTTTTTAATGTAAGAAAGAACACACACACAAATGGGAAGTTGAGTTATGCCTTTAATATAGAGTAGGGGACCTCTTCTAGAAAAGTGAATTTTTCTTCACTGTTTTGGGAGTAATATTATGGCTGAAATATAGTTGACAATTCATTTTCACAACTTATATTTTTTCTTATTTTTTAAGTCTAAACCTCACCATTTATAAAAACTTTTCACGTATGTTCGACTTGCACAATTTTTTTTAAATAGTATATAGTTACATGTCCCTTTAGCATGTTAACTTAGAAAAATTGCAACAGATTCAGACCTTTCAATTTGTTGTTTACTACATTTAAACCTTTTATTTTTGTCGTCGCAGTCCCAAACCTTTTAATTCCACTGTGGTCGGAGTCCATTAGACAATGTCCTACCATTAATCAGGCCTCAAATTAGAAATTTGACTCAAATTGAAAAAATAAATGAG